TTGAGCTATGAGATGAGCTTAATGGCTCCCAATCTCGTTTGAGGTATGAGATGAGATTTTTGGCTCCCAATCTCGTTTCTTTTCTTTGTGAGTACCCACTTATATCTCATGGGTGAAATTCAAGTAGTTGTAGTAACTACTGGTCTCTACACTCTTCATTTTATCAAGGAATCAAATTCAGCTTGGATTGTATTTTTTTTTCATTTCAGCCATCATCCCTTTGTTTACACTTATCAATTGATCGAGGTTTTATATCTTCACTCGTTAAAACATTCAGTAGCTACTGTGTAGGTAAGTTTATCATCGATGATCATTTCATCCCAATACCACATCTCGTTCATGCATGAATAACTAACCGAGTTTTTCCTATTCACGGGAATGAATATTAATGTCGAGGCGTCCCCCGACTTCGTATGCAGGACGAATCCATAGTCCGGAATTATTTTATGAGATGGATAAGGTGAGATCCCATTTATACTAGTGCTAACCGGATTCAATTGTTGGGCATTCATCCACTTCCGGAGGTGAGAATCATTTCGTCCCATTGCGCTCCCCCTCTCCTATGAATGGAGGCAAGACTAGTTAGCATAGATTGATGGCCTACCCGCAATTGTCCTTCTAGAACATCTATCATTGGAGGCTTATTTGAGATCTCGTCACTTTTTCAAACCAGAGAATGAGTTCGGCATTATTCGCCACACACGAATTCACGTTATTCTTCAGGAACATTAGTGTTCACATTTTTTGCAGATTTAGTAGTCGTCCCTCATGACTTCATGCCGTTCTTCAAGAAAGTTAGTGTGGATGATCTATTAATCTATATATAAATTCTCTGAGGTAGGGGATCTTGATGACACGGTGGGGTCGTCCCACAAGACTTCACGCCGTTCTTCAGGAACGTTATTGTGGACGTTCTTTTCTCCCCCTAACGGCGGGAAGATAGTCTCATCAAAGTGACAGTCCGCAATTTGAGCGGGTAAGAGATCACCTGTCTAAGGTTCTAAATTTAAGTTATAGATGGTGATACATAGTCCACATATATCTTCTTGGATTCCCTCCAAGAAAAATATTGAATCATTACATGTATGTGCATATGCTGACATATAATCAAATTACTTGATTTCGAGCAATCGACAACTTATGCTTCTGGCATTCAAATTGTGGTTCTACATAACCGTGTCAAAAATTCCTCTAATTTTCCTAATATGTTCGCTTCTGGTTGTACATGTTAGAGGTGATGCACATAAATTCGATTTCTTTTCTTTAATGGTTTCAACATAATGACCATTAGCTCAAATATCTTTAAAGTTCAACATCGTTCTACTGGAACGTGGAGGAAAAAGAGCTACTTTAATGGCAAAAGTTGTGCCATGAGATAACATAATGTGGACATTGCCATAACCATCTATCAAAACTAATGTGCCTCATTTAGTTATCAAAGAGGTCTTGCTACAAATAGACATGAAATTAATAAAGTACGACTTATCTCTCAGGATAGTATGTGTTGTCGCACTATCTGCCACACATTTATCCCCAGATGTCATGTCTACAGAGTTATATAAATCTAATCATATTTATTCAGTACTTCAGGTACTAAATAAATTCATCAAGCAAACACCACTGAATAACATTATAATTAACTTAGAACACATAGTGACATAATTATATGATCCAGAGCATAAACTAAACATAATCAAACTACGAATATGGAAGATGATTGAAATTCAATAAAATAATAAACCCGACTAATAAAATAAACATAATGCATGAAATCAACAGTTCAATAATATCCCAACAAGGGTTATTTGGTCAGATGTGCCCAAGTATGGAAGCTGAGTGACGGGCTATACATAGAAAATATTTGCCTCTACCAACTCAGTCTATGCTGGTGCATTATTATTTGCATCTCCAGCCCCAACGTTCCTCGCACATCAGGTGCGTGACCATTGCTCAGATGCAACACATATAAAACATATATATATGTTCGGATTTTAAAGTTCATATACAAATCGTTTATGAACACTTGGTCCTTGCTTCAGGCAAGCGTATTGTCTTTTGGTAATCGAAACGACTAGTCAGGGTATCCCATTTTTTATTAGGACCATCGTTCGATGAATAGTACAGAAGAAGGACTTCATCTAATTATCTCTTAATCAGAAACATAGTCTCAGCTTCTGGGCTTTACCAAATAAATTATCCTCTAAAACAATTATTCTCAATTGGCCACTAAGCGTATGGATCTTCACATCCATTCTCAAACTAATATAACTTTCACCAGATACATTAAGTTGGGTAAACTTGAGTTTGCTCATGTGTTTTATCTCAATCAAATACAAATATGGAGTATTATTGTTTTATGGGAATGTAACCTCCATAAACAATTTCATGAATATTTTTAACTTATTAGAACTTCCAGTCTAATAATTCATATGCTACATGTTTATACACATTCATGTCTTTCATAAGATAAACAATAACGAAGAACAAAATATTGTACTAATGTTACAAAATTACATAACAGATAAACGACGGGTCAATTGAATAGAATTATCAATAATAATTTGAGCAAAATATTCATGAACTTTAATGTACATGTGCCAAATATATATAATATGACATGCTTAATATCATTGAAATATAAACATAACCTTAAGCATATAACAGGTCATGTTGTAACCGTAAATAGCATGTATAATCCATATAGGATCCATGATTTAATCAAACAATATTTCAAGCAGTTAATGACTAAAGCTACGATCGGGTTGGATAAGAAACAAAGAGAATTTCATTATCATAATCAAAACGATTCATGAGCCAATGCATACTGTTGCATACAAATTCATAGTCATTAAGCATGTAGTCCACAATTTTCTCTATATTTTAGCAATGAAGCATACATAATATAATTTCAGACCACGCACTAGGAAATTATGAAATCAAAAGGGCATCAAAATATTATTACCTGTTTTGATGATATGCAATAACACGTTTGCTGGCGCAATACATTGAATTCTAGAGATAAATAAATCACAAGATTTATACATAGATGTGAAAACATAAATTCACATTTTAACCACAAGAGAATTAAAATAATATGGTTCAGCATGTGACAATTATGCAAAACACAAGAAATAGCCAAATAAATTAAATTAATGTGTTCATTATACATGACTCTTAGTATGCATGCTCACATTTATAATTTCGAGATTAATATATCATTCTTCATATATATCATGCCATCAAATTTATCTAGCATGCATCTCTTAAGAAATTGAAATTGCAAGGGATTACCGTTTTACATACAAACCCGAATCAAAAGTTCTCCGAGTAACCTTGTCCCACGAACGATTACCTTTCCACGAGCGCCCTAATTCTTCGAGTATCCTTGCTCCACGAATGATTTTATCTTTCCACGATCAAGGCGAGCAATTCGTGCTGATAACGTGTTGTAAAATCGCCTATTTAATCTAGCTCTTTGGTTTGTGATTGTGGAAATACATAAGAATGTAAATAACAAGATAAAGAGAGACAGAGATAATGCAAAGAACAACAATCCGTAGAGAGATAATTGTGGGTATCAATGGGGAGGGAGTTTTTCTCATTAATATAGGTGTAAGCCACCGGAAATTACAAGGAGGAGTTACAAATGGAAGTTCCATGGAAGTTATTTCCTACACACATCATGGGACTAAGATGTGGGAAGTTTACAATAGTGGGAGGTTGAAAAGACCCTCAAAGTGGTTAAGTTAGGAAACCACACATTCCATATTATTTACAACATTGTTTTATTTTTATTTTTATTTTAGGTACCGTTTTATGCGCAGGAGACTCAATCTCGATAGAGAACCGGTTGACCCAAAAACCGAACGCACTTTTCGAGCCGCTAGGAGACTTCAACGCGAAAACAATATAATGGAGGACGAAGAAAGCATAGACGCAGAGGGTTGTTTACTCGATGGAAGCGGAATTCAAATCCAATACCAACCCCCACCTTCCACTACAACCAGTAGTTAGGTCGCGGGCACTTCAAGACTATATAGGCCCAAGCATCCAGTATCCACCCATCGAGGTACATAATTCTGAAACTAAGCAAGGCTTTTTTGACGATGCTTGAAAATAACGGGTTATTTAGTGGATTGGCAGGTGAAGTTCCCCATCTTCACGTTATCAATTTTCTCGATACATGTAACTCCCATCGTCAAAACGGTGTTTCCCAAGAGGCGCTCTAATTAATTCTCTTCAAACACTCCCTGCAAGGAATAGCTCGCTAATGGTTGACGTCCCAAGCCCCCCACTCTGTCTCGTCATGGTCTCAACTCCTAAAACAATTACGACGAAACAAATACGAATACGACGAGAAATTCACAATTTTGTCCAAGGTCAAGGCGAAGCATTATTCGAAGCGTTGGAGATATTCGAAACTCTTTTAAGGCAATGTCCAAATCACGGAGTGGAACAATGACGGCAAATCCACATCTTGTACCATAGTCTATTCATTAAAACAAATGAAACAAATATTTTATAATTAATTAATTATATAAAAAAATGCATCGGAGTCCAAAAAAAAACCATAAAATAAATAAATAGAAACAATTCTAAATGCCCTCTTAACTCTTTTTTGAAAATCTTGAGACCTGAAAAAGAAAGCATATATATATATATATATATATAATTTAATTTAGTTGGGCTTTATTCGGGTTGAGCCATGGTAAGTTCAAACTCGCCTCATAGTTTAATCGAGTTTAATGAAACGACTCAAACTCAGCCCGGCTCACAATTAATCGAGTTCGGCTCAAATAAAATCGGGTCGAATTACGAACTTCGGGTAAACCCAACTCAATTACTGGTCCTATCTGGACATATATACTGTATACATTTAAGTTTGTTATTATGGACCTATATCGCCATTTGCCTATTTCTCAAATAACTCCTTTACAAAAATAAGTAGTATCTTAACTGAGATTTGCCCACTACAATTTTAATCCAATTTCCGAATTTTGTGTTTTCAATTTATTTTGCTCTCCCCTAATTTTGAAATTCACTCCGACTCCATCGTTAATTAAAACCTAGAAATTCAAATTGTCAAAACCCCCAAAACCCTCAACACAGAATCCGTGCAGAGACATATCCATGGCTTTGCGGCTTCAACATTTCAGGCAAGTAATTTCCCTCTACAAACCCAATTGATTTACATTTTCAATTGCTTTTATTTTCCAATGATGATTTCACCCTTGCGCCGAAACTTCACATCTTTAATTCCGACGCCGTGTTTTTTCGTATGCGGCGAACCCCATGTTTCTTCCACTTTCTCTCTCCATTTCTTCTCTACTCTGAACGGAAAGCAAACTACAGTCTTCGATATCTTGTTGCACAAACACCATTTTTCTCATGAAGTTGCTTCATTAGCTTCCTCACATCTGATTCGTCTCAAGAACCCGGAAAAGGCCGATTTAGTACTGTCGTACTTCAACGAAATCGGCTTTTCGAAACCCCAATTGGAGAAAATCGTTCGGTACAGGCCCCGTATTCTCTCGGCGAACGTTGAAAAAATAATTAAGCCCAAAGTCAAGGTTTTCCGGGATTTGGGGTTTTCGTCGGACAGCTGGGCGAAGATAATCACGGCCCATCTGCCGATTATTCACTCGAGCCTGAAGAACAGTATTCTTCCCGCGTTGAATCTGCTGAAGGAATTGTTGGGATCCGACGACGAGGTGGCCAGACTTTTAAAGACGTGCGCTTGGTTCGTGACGACCGATTTGGAGAAGAATATGATGCCGAACGTCGAATTCTTGAAAAGCTACGGCGTGCCGATGGAGCATATCCTCATCTTGTTCCGTTACAGCCCGAGGTGTATGTTGAACAAGCCGGAAATTATGAGGAAATCCGTCCGCAAAACCGAGGAGATAGGGTTTAATCGAAGCTCCAAGATGTTCGTTTACGCTCTTCGAATTATTTCTTGCATGAGCGACGAGGTGTGGGAACTCAAGTTGTGGGGGTTTCGGGATTTGGGGTTTTCGGATACGGAAATATTGAGTATGTTTAGGAAGGCGCCTACATTGTTTACGAAATCAATGGAGACGACAAAAGCTATAAAAGAAATTCTTCTCGAAACGGGGAAGTTCGGTATGTCGTCTATTGTGAAAAACCCGATGTCTCTTACTTGCAGCATCGAGAATCGGTTTAAGCCTCGCCAGGAGATTTTGGGGATTCTTGAAAGTAAGGGTCTCATTAAGTGTTGGCCTAGTCTCTCGACATTTTGCATATTGACCGACGATAAATTTTTCAAGAAATTTATTGGCCCTAATTTGAATCAACTTTTGGCTGAGTCTACATCGCAAAAAGGGAAAAATTAGAATCGTAAAACATCTGCTCGAAGCACTGGAATGAATCGGATATTTTCATTTTGATTGTAGGGTAAAGATTACGTCGTTCGGACCATGTTACTTGTATTTCGTTTCTCCTAATATTGTTCGGATCTTGGAATTTTGTCAGGACAAAACTAAAAAAAGTCGACTGGGAAGATTACATTTTTGTGCTTTATTTTTAAGGGCATATTACAAATAAGCCCATCAATGGGTACTTATTCATAAAGAAATCCAGACAAAAATCTCCTTTACCAATAAGTCCAGACATGCTTCAGATTTTTGTAAATGACTAAAATAATCTCTCATACTTTAATATGCTCCAATTTCATCCTTAACTTAATTTAACTTCAATTTGATCCCAAATTTCACAAATTATTCAATTTTGATCCAAAACTTTTTTTTTTCAAAAAAAACTTTTTTTTTCCCGCCGGATTCCGACGTTGACTTTTCAACTTTTTTTTTTTTTCTTCCTTCCGTATTTTTTAAATTTTTTTTTTCTTTTTTTTCTTCTTTTCTTTTTTTTTTGCTGTAACTTTTTTTTTCCGTTTAAACTGCAATATTGATGTGATTGACACTAATATTAACTATATTACTGTTAAACACAGTAAAATTAACTAAACTATAGTTTAACACTGTAATATTGCTATATTAATCTCTAGCACATTAATATTAACACAACAAAACTCATTATTATTGTGGAATAAAGTAATATTACTATGTTGACCGTTCAACAAATGTAAACATAATAAAAAAAACCAAAAGAATTAATATTACTGTGAGTGACAGTAATATTACTATAGCAACAATAATATTACCGTCAACCACAGTAATATTACAATAATAGACAGTAATATTATTACGTTACTCCGTGAATAACTCAAACAAACAAAAAATCCAAACAAAATAATAATATTGATGTGGTTGACAGCAATATTACTATAACAACAGTATTATTACCGTCAACCACAGTAATATTATTGTGTTTACAGTAATATTACAATAATAGACTGTAATATTATTACGTTACTCCGTGAATAACTCAAACAAAACAAAAACCCCAAAAAAATAATAATATTGATGTTGTTGACAGTAATATTATTGTGTTTACAGTTATTTTACTGTCAACACAGTAATATAATTACGTTGACTTGTCAACAAATCAAACCAAAAAAAAAAAAAACAATAAAAAAATAATATAATAATATTACATTAATTTACTGTCAACGGCAGCACAATTACATAAATGTAATGTCAACGGTAGTACAATTACGTAAATTAACTATCATTGACAGTATAATTACGTTAATTTACTATCAGTGACAGCACAATTACGGTCAACGTTTAGCGGCGGACGTGGAAAAAAAAAACTTAAAAAAACACTAAAAAAAGTCAACGCCAGAGACCGCCGGAAACCGGCGAAAAAATCCGAAAGAAAAGCAAAAAAAAAAACAAAAAAAAGTTGAAAAGTCCACGCCGGAATCTGGCGGCAAAAAAAAAAATTTGGAAAAAAAAAAGTTTTGGGTCAAAATTGAGTAATTTGTGAAATTTGGGGTCAAATTAAGATTAAATTAAGTTAAGTATGAAATTGGAGCATATTAAATTATGCTCCAAAAAAAAGTCAAAATTGATTTTTTGTGGTCAAAATTGGATTTTTGTGGACAAAATTGATAAATTGGGGTTACAATTAAGAATTAGGTATAAATGATTGAGGGTAATATATGGATAACATGAATGTTTATTGGTGAAAGAGATATGTTTCCTAAACCTAGAATAATAAACATGCTTGGTTGGGGACTTTTGCATAAAAACCCCTATTTTTAATGCGTTTCATGTTCCTCAATCTCTAGTGTTGAGTGTATATTTTACACTCAATGTATACTTTCTTACGAGGATTTTTGTATACTTTTATTGATTTAATGATGCTTAATGAGTGGTTTATTGTATTTTAGGTACAACTTGACGATTTGGAAGTTCCAAGGACGAAACGAGCCAAAAAAAGGCAAAAACGGAAGAAAACAAAAATGCTGAAAATTGGCTGAAAAATGCCCGCGCGGCCGTGCCAAATTTAGCCTATTTTTGGCACGGCCGTGCCAACTGCAGAAGTTGGGCAGAAGGTTTCGGCGATTCTCGTGCGGCCGTGTGAGATTTTGACTGATTTTCGCGTGGCCGCGCCAACACACGCTGGAGATAATTTTGGACTTTTAATCACACAAGGAAACCTAAAATCATCTACCAAGTTGGGGCATCTATTTAAGAGCAAACCAAGCACGAATCAAAATACTTTGGAACACAATCTTGGAGGAAGAGGAGCGCGAAGAACGAAGATCGACGAAGACTCAAGCATAGTTTTTCTTATTTATTTTATTTATTCTATTTTGTTTATCATAAGAATTACGAGTAGCTAAGTTTTTAATCTAGGATTTTATTTGAACCCTATGTGGGGATGGTGAACCCGTTTTCTTGAGATTATGCAATTATGATTTTATGATTATTTCTTCTACTTGTTATGATTGTTAGTGCATGAACTTGATCAATTTATGTGCTTTATCTGTGATTATTGGGATTGACTCGACAGAGCTATTTTGATAATTAGACGGTAAGTATAAGAACCTTCGAGTCGTTTTCACCGGATGAGTGTGTCAATTGCATGTGGTGTCGTACACATACAGATATCACCTTAGGTAGCCATTTACGAGACTTGTTAGTTAATGTTTTATTCATAATTTGTTTGCATAGACATATAGTGAACCGTTTGTGAATAATAGACTCATAATACACGCGACAGCGGGTTATGAGTAAATTAGTGTCTCGGATTTAATAATCATGAATCATATATTTCATAATTGAGGGGTTTTGGGTGAGCAATTCTTGCATAGGGGGAAGATAAAATCCTAGGTCCGTTTTTATTGATATTTTCTCGTTTTTTATTTGCTTTCATAATTAGTTTAATTATTTAATTGAGTAAATTTGACAACTTTGCGTAGGCTGGATAAAAATCATAATTGTTAGAATTTGGTACTTAGGATTAGATAATTTGAGTATTCCCTGTGGGATCGACATCCGACTCTCACGAGTCCACTTTTACTACTTGTTTGCGATACGTGCACTTGCGTGTTAGGTATTTAGCCCAACAAGTTTTTGGCGCCGTTGCCGGGGAATACAACTAAATTATCTATTTATTCTAATATCAAATTTGAGCATTTTTTTTACTTCAGCCATTTAATTTTAATTTTAATTTTAATTTTGTTGTAAATAATATGTGTGTGTGGAGTTTCCTAACATAACCACCCAACTCCCCACTAAATCACTAACCTACCCCATGTCTTCCCATTATGTGTTAGTGGTAGAATAACCTCTTCTGTAACTTCTCTTGTAACTCCCGGTGGTTTTTCACCTATATAATGGAATTCTCCCTCCCCCATATTTACACCCTTATTAATCTCTCTACGGATTTTTGTCTTTGCATTCTCTCTCTATCTTTTATTCTGTTGTCATACTTTATTTTCCACAATCATCAAACCGAAGAGCAATACAATTAGGGCGATTTACAACACGTTATCAGCACGAATTGCTCGCAGTGATCGTGGAAGAACAATTATTCGTGGGACTAGAATACTTCGAGAAATTGTGAGCGTGGTTCGTTTGTGAGCGGTGATCTACTTTCGTAGAGCGTATAATCTTCTCTATAGTATCTGAATTTTATCAATTTTTAAGTAAGCCTTAACCCCTTGAAATTCTTTATTATATGAATGCATGTTAGATAAATTCGAATTAGCATGAAAAGTTGTGTAGCATATTTATTTGATGTCTTTTGATATTTGTTTGAAAATCTCGGTTGATGTTTCGAGTACTGTATGATTCATGAATAGATTGTTATATGAGTTGTACTTTGTTGGTGAATGTATTTAAGAAGTTTATGAATTAATCTATTTATCTAGATGAGTAATATGTAATATTCTTGTAGAATGATTTCACTATGAATATTCTGCGTACATGTTTGGACATTTAATGTTATATGACCAGTGAATAAAATCATCCATGTGAATATTCTGTGTGCATGAAACAATCGGTTTGTCTAATAATCATGAACTGGTTGAAATATATATGAATTCTATGCGAGTCATATAAGCTATATGTGGTTGTATCACGTCATATGCAAATTTCATGACATCAAAGTAATACACAATAATTTGATTCGCAAGTATTCTTTGTCTATGTACGATAGGATGGAACATTTGAGCAAACTTGATTTCACCCCTTTGAATGTATCTGGTGAGAACTACGTGAGTTGGACAATGGATGTTAAGATCCATCTCACTAGTAAGAAACTGAGGATGGCTATTGTTAAAGAAAATCTGCTTAACGAAGCCCAGAAGGCTGAAGCCATGATTCTGATTAGGAGGCACCTAGATGAGGTCCTCCGTTTGGACTACTCATCGATTGAGGATCCCCAAATACTATGGGATGCCCTGGCTAGTCGATTTGATCACCAAAAGACAATCCTCTTGTCTGAAGCAAGAAACAAATGGATTCACTTACGGTTTATGGACTTCAAAACTGTTAACGAGTATAACTCTGAAGTATGTCGCATCAAATCCACCCTGGAGTTTTGTGGAGAGAAACTAACTGATGCTGAGATTCTGGAGAAGACGTACTCTACATTCCCTGCCTTACATATGATACTGTCTCAACAGTACAGAGCCAAGAACTATACTCAGTTTTCAGAGTTGGTCACCGTTCTGCTCCTTGCCGAGAAGAACCTTGATCTTCTTTTGAAGAACAACCAGGCTCGACCAGTTGGTACTCGACCTTTGCCAGAAGCAAATTTGGTCAATCGAAATCCTCAACCTTTGCCTGAAGCAAATTTGGTCAACAGAAACAATCGTGGTGGAGGCAGAGGCCGTGGGTTCAATCGTCGAGTGAGGGAAAGAGGTAATAGGGGCGGACATGTTCCTTATAATAGGCCACCTAATGGCCCCCACAGTATGGGCAAAGGGGGAATATGCCAAGAGGAGGTAACAATGCTCGACCTAGAGGTGCGCAGCAGAATAGAGCCCTGAATCAGAATCAAAATCAGAATAGAGATACATGTTATAGGTGTGGTGGAACTGGGCATTGGTCACGCACCTGTCGTGCGAGGAACGTTATGTTTGGTGGTGTAAATAACAATGCACCACCGGAGACCAACCTGGTTGAGATAGACGTTCTCAATGAGGAGCCCATTGCTCGACTCCCAAATCTGGGCACATCTGACCCAATGACCCAGTTGGAATATGATTAGAATGTTACTTTATGAGTTTAGACATTATGTTCTTTTATGTTTCTAGTTTATCAGTTTTAAGTTATGTTGTTTATTTGGTCATGCTTATGAACCAATTTCGTATTTGGATTATGTTTGTGCTTTATTTTATGGACTATATTTTATGTGGTTATGTTTTAATTCTGTTTTTATGGTACTCGGTAGAGTTATCTTGTTTGAATTTTATTAAAGTATTTTAAATTGCGGATTATATGATTAGATTTATTTATCTTTCTAGACATGGCATGTGGGGATGAATGTCTGGCAGATAGTGCGACAACGCACACTATCCTTAGGGATAAGTCATATTTTGTTAGTTTCATGTCTAGTAAGACTTCTTTGACTACTATATCAGGCACATCTAGTATAATAGATGGTTATGGTAATGCCCATATTATGTTACCTCATGGCACAATTCTGACCATTAGAGAAGCTCTTTATTCTCCACGTTCCAGTAGAACGCTGCTGAGTTTTAAAGATATTCGAGCCAATGGTTATCATGTTGAAACAACTGATGAAAAGGGGATCGAATATATGTGCATCACCTCTAACGTGTACGGCCAGAAGCGTACCTTGGAAAAATTAGAGGGACTTTCGATAGGGTTATATAGGACCAAAATTCGAGTGCCAGAAGCACACCTTGTCGATTGCTCGAAGTCTAGTGATCCGAGTAAATATTTTCTATGGCATGACCGACTGGGACATCCGGGTCAAAGTGTGATGCGCCGAATTATTAGCACATCTATTGGGCATCCACTAACAAATAAGGATCTTGTACACAATGATAAGATATGTGTACCCTGTTCTATCGGAAAACTTGATCATATGCCAGCTTATGCACAAACTAGTAAACATTCTCTTGGTTTCTTGGAATGAATCCAAGGAGATATATGTGGCCCCATCTCACCACCATGTGGACCTTTTAAATATTTTTTGGTGATGGTTGATGCTTCGACTAAGTGGTCACAGGTCGATTTGTTGTCTACGAGGAATGCTGCTTATGCTAAACTCCTCTCTCAAATAATAAGATTGAGAGCACACTATCCAGATTATCCCATTAAGTCTGTTCGACAAGATAATGCTGCAGAGTTTACGTCGCGGTCTTTCGACGAATATTGCATGTCTTTAGGTATTGACATAGAACATCATGTAGCGCATGTTCATACCCAAAATGGCCTTGCAGAGGCATTTATTAAGAATTTACAGAGGATTGCACGAACTTTGGTAATGCGCACCAAACTTCCAATCTCTGCTTGGGGCTATGCAATATTGCACGCAGCTATGTTATTACGATTGAGGCCCACTGCAACCCAACCATATTCTGCGTTACAGTTAGTGTCCGGAAGTACACCAAACGTTTCTCATTTACGCACATTTGGGTGTGCAGTTTATGTGCCGATTGCTCCGCCACAACGGACCAAGATGGGACCTCAACGTAGATTGGGCATTTATGTTAGTTACATATCAGCATCTATAATACGATATTTAGAACCCTTGACAGGCGATCTCTTTACCGCTCGATTCACGGACTGTCACTTTGATGAGACCGTCTTCCCGCCGTTACGGGGAGGAAATAACGTTCACACTAACGTTCCCGAAGAACGGCGTGAAGATGTATGGAATGACCCCACTGTGTCTCATCATGATCCCCCTACTTCAGTTAGAGAGTTTGAAGTACGTAGACTCATAGATCTACGGAAAGTAGCCAATAATATGCCAGACTCATTCTCTGAC